GCTGTGCTGCTGAGCTAAATCCCCAGCCCCAAAAGAAAGTTATTATTGTTAAATTATTATTATTATAGTACCAGTGGTTGAACCCAGGACCTTCACATGGAGCTACATCCCAACCCTAAGTCTTTCTGTTTTGTTTTGTTTTTTTAATTCTTGGGAAAGGGTCTTGCTAGGCCACCAAGTCACACAGGTTGGACTTAAATGCGAGGTTCTCCTGCCTTAGTCTCCTGGAATGCTGGAATTACGCCGTGCGCCACACCTGGCCACCCCGTGCGTAAATGCGGAAACAGCCAGCGCAGGGCGGTGCGTGAGGTTGGCCGGGCCCAGGCGGAGGAGCCTCCCTTTGCTGTGTCCCAGCCGCACCAGGGAGCCCGGTTTGGTCTCAGACAGTCAGTTCCAGATTCTGCCCGCTTCATGAACCACCTGCAGCGCACTGAGAGGGTTTCAAACAGGCCACGGTGTCCTTAGTTAGTTTTTGAAACGAACGCATATTTGTTTTGAAATATTTGCATGTCTGGGGATAGCTGAAGTCACAGATGCTGCTGATTGCATGTTTTGTTCTTAAACACCCAAACATTGCTCCAACACAAATGTCCACATCACAGTTGCTCTTAAAAATAGCACCGCGGACCGGGGCAGTAAAATCTCCCAAGGAGGCTTAGCAGAAGGTAAGTGCCACTTGCAAAGGAGACGAAAGAGGGACCCAGGGTGGCCAGTGGAAGAATCCCGTCCTAGACGCGGGGGTGTCGAGCCAGGGACTGGAATTCCACACAAGTCCCCTCGCCGTGGATGTCCAAGAAAGGGAGCGTTTGGCTGCTATTTATGTTTGGTCGCGTCCTCCTGTTAATAAACTTGCTGTGCTCCAATGGGGCCGCCCTGGGCCGCACTGTCAAAGGCATTGTCCCCTGAACATATTTAAATTTCAAATGCATGCCTAGTAAAACCAAGCCCCGGTGGTGCCTTCGAAATTCTCCGCATAACTCCCGGGGTTATTTCGTTTCATTCCACCTCTTTGGAGTTCTGCACTTGCATTCTGTCCTCCTCCCTACCCCCAGGCCCAGCTCTCTTTCTGTCTGCGATCCCACTTGGGGCAGGGAGCCTCGGAGATACAGCTGTGTGCTCTGGTGTCGTTTAAAAAGGCATTCATCTTCGTTACAGGGGCTGCATTATGCTAATGTGCGTTTTATTTTCAGCAAGTCTTACTGATCCACACTTTCGATTCGCCCTTATTCATGTCCAGAAGCCCAACTTTGAAAGGGTTGGACTTCAAAGAGCTGCACCTTCTGCTCGGGAAGTGCGGCCCCCTCGTGTTTCTGGAAAGGCAAGCGGTAAACACAGGGATCCAGTGGTTGGCACTGAGGGTCAGCACCCGGAAGCCAAGGAAAGGAGAATTTCTGACCGTTCACCATCCAACTCTTATAGAAAGTTAAGATGTGTGTGTGTGTGTGTGTGTGTCTGTCTGTCTGTTTTTGAGAGAGGGTCTCCTGTTCACTTCAGGCTGGCCTCAAATTTGATCCTTCTGCCTCAGCCTCCCAAGTGCTGGGATTACAGGCATGCGCCACCATACCCAGCTAGGCTTAAATTTGCTGTTCCTGCCTCAGCCTCCCAAAATACTGGGATTACAGGTGTGCGCCACCACATCC